TACCTACTAAATTAACCACTGTTATAGGGCCTAGGCCCTGTAATTACTGCTGGTAGCTAAGCAATAGTACTGTGCATTGCTTCCCCAAAGTGCATTGTAAGCCCTGTTAGTGTGTGCACTACAGGGCCTCACCCACCTAAATCTAATTACCAATGCTTAAAAGTTTGAACTTCTTACCCTACCCTACTTACGGAATTAACCAGTATAGTAATATATTTGTCATTCAGGGTCGGGGAATTGGCCGAGATAAAGTTGGTACTATCTCATTATACTATATTAAAGGTTATACTTAGGGTATATTGTTAAACCGCTTTATAATTGATAGCGGAGCAACCTTAGAGTATATATTACTATAGTTTTGTAAGGAGATGAAGGTAGTACCGTCTAACCTCGAAATTCTATAGGAGGTTACATTAGCTAATAATTCTATTGATACTCTTACTAAATACATTATCATTAACCTAGTTATAGGTGGCATTAGTACCGGAGTAGTTACCTTTGTTTATAGTAACAGTAGTTTTAACGTTATATTATCCAACTTATAGCTGATAAGAGTCTGGGCTATTTAGGATTAGGGAACCCAATCTATTACTATTTATACTCGAGATGGATTACCGGAGACGATTCTATTTACCGTTATATAGGAAGTAGATTACAGTTATATTGTTAGTATAGAGCCGACGGTTCCTCTTCCGGTGATAGGAGATCAGATGAGAGAAGTTCTAACAGCCTTCCAATTAGCATCGATATATAAGTGTTTAACGGCTTTAGGAAAAGCACTAGCCTAATCTTAACAGGCTTATAAGATTGGGTATATAAGGATTCCGGAGCCGATTATACCGATATCCCTATTATAAGATTAAGTATATTATACTATTACTATCCCTATTTAGACTATAGTAGGATTAGCAATGAAACTAATTACCATTACTTTAACTACTATAATATAAAACCTTAGCGATATTTGGATACTATATCGAAAGTTTTCCAGACTACGTACACTATACCTAAACCCATTACTATTATTAATACTATTAGATAGACGGAGCTATATTCCTTACGATACTGGTAAACTACGGGGATATAGAATAGATAGAGAGGGGCAGTAAGAGTAGCTAAAGATAGATATACCGGAGTGGAAGGGTCTAACAGGTAGGAAGGCTATAGGTGTTAGAAAGTAGGTAAAGATAGGATATAATAGCTGTTTAGTAGGAAAACCGAAACTTAAAGGGGTTAGCCTACAAATCCGAATTTCCTACTAAAACTCGAAATAGCCGGTATAGCTATAAGATACCTGAGAAACTTGACTTACGATACTGGACCGATGGTATAGAAAATTCCTCCGGGTATTTAGGAAGTTTCTCCAGCTGAAATAACAGGGTAAGAATAGGAGAAGCGATACCCCTAGTAGTATTATCGAGAATTATACCAGATATCCCCTAGTAAACCACCAGAAATGTTATAGTAATATTGGGATAAGCTCTAAGCTATAAGTAAGAGGTACTATCCGGGCCAGCAGATACCGTTTTAGTAGGGAAATCGAAATACTAAGGGGGACCCCTTTGAGGTACGTCGATCCCCGCTAAATCCCCAAATGGTACCAGATTCCCAGAGTATAGTCGACTCTTAGTTCGAAACTTCTAGCATTACTATCGGGCTACTTACTGATACTTAGGAGAAGATTAACTTAGCTAAACGATTGTATTTTATATAGTGTAAAGTCTTTTCTTATATATTGGATAACCTACCGCCCACCGATATAATTGAACACCCTATTATTACCAAGCCTAATGTGAACCTAGATATTAGGAAGCTATTCAGATATATACTAGGTTACCGGAGATTTAGTAAGAGGGTTTTTACTAAAATGGAATTAGCCGGTATTATCTTACAAGGTGAAAGTCTATATAGAGTATAGACTATCTTTATCGATAAGCCTAGAGAGTTAGCTGAACCACTAGGGGACCGAGTATATCGAGTTATCTACGATTTTCACTCAATTAATAACAATACTATTAAATCAGCTTATCTATACTATAATATAGATATAGATTTAAATAACCTATATCTGGGTAAGCCGATATATTACTTTAAGTTAGATACTAAGAATAGATACTAGGTAGTTCCGATTAGACCTAGAGATAAATAGTTAACCGGATTTATTTCACTATCTGGCTGGTTCTATTATAGGTGTATGGTTTAGGGCCTGAAATATATACTAATGATATATGTAAGATTTGGAGATATAGTGTTTAGAGTATTCCTGGAGTGGCCGATACTACTAGAGGGATATCCAATGTACGGCTGTACGAGTAATGAGATAGGAGAGTGGTAGGTTGTATAGGAACCTCCTAGACTATTATAGACAATACTGCCAGTACTTCTATCTGTTCTGGGATACTATTAGGCTACTGGGAATTTATTTGTTATTTATATAGATGACTATATTGTATTGGGATATGATTTCTAGATATATTTGGCATTCCTTTATAAAGTTTACTTTCCCTAGGTAGTATTTGGCCTAATCCTATTAGTACTAGATAAGATATAATTGTTTATAGATAAACTGGAGGTAGTAGGATTTCACCTAATAGATAGGAAAATTATTCTAGCGGTAAAGTATATTATAAAGTTTAAGAGATAGCAGCGTTAGTAGGTACTATCACTACCGGGGATATAGGGCGAAGTGTAGCAGTTGGTGTTTTTAATACCGTTTTTAAGACGGTATATTCTAGGTAGGGCCGACTTAGTTTGTAAGCCGAAGACGGCTTTCTTCTGTAAGGCCGGGAGAGTTATACTAACTGGAAAAAAGTTAACTATTACCGAATGGGTTGTTTGCCCGTTACTATAATGGACTACGGAATATAACGAAGCGGTAGTAAAGATCTGTAACTCCGTCTAGTAAAACACTATTTATAGAACTAACCCGGCTAAAGCATTTTATATTATATACAATGCTAGTGTTACTGGGTTGGGAGCTGTAATGTTCTAACTAGGTAATGTTGAAGACCTGACTCTACTGGATAAATATCGGGAGAAACGATATTTCAAGATAATTAATATCAATATATTTATATTATTTATACTCTAGGATAGGGAGCTTCGATATACTGTTCTGGAAAAGAAGATATTAGCTATAGTACAAGTATTAAAGGAAACCTAATAGATTATATAGGTATTAGACTTCCCAGTTTATATTTATAGTAACTATCTCTTAGTTGTATAATCGATGATAAACCTGGGTAAGGTCTACTCTAAGGTAGTATAATAGATTAATACGATTACCGAGTTTAATATTATCTTTTATTACCGGCCGAATACTGATAAAGTGATTGGTATTACAGATAGTATGTTAAGATTGTACAACAACCTCTAGGATAAACCAAGCGGTGAGGTTGGATAGAGGAAAGATATATCTTGGAGTTTGGAGTCTATTATAGCTTTGGATTATAATATCCCGATTACCGGTATGTCTTTAGGAAGGGGTCTGCCCTTGGTAGGGGTAATTGCTTCGGTGATACCGAAAATGCAGTATGTATATGATCTCGACTGGTATAGGGATATTACAACTTAGTTGATTAGAGGTAATAAGGAGATTTAGTATTTACCGAAAGCCCGGTAATAACTGGTAAAGAGGAGGGCTTTAAACTATCGATTGGACAGTATTATATTATTATAGGTAGAGAATAACGATAGCTTAGCTTTATATATTAACCCTAATCGGAGGGTAGAGGTTATAGCCTGGGTATATAACTACTATAGCTATTATATAGAGGTAACTATATTACGATATTTGTAAGGGCGATTCTGGTAGCCTAACCGGGTAAGCGATATCAATAAATACTGTAAGGTGTACGAGGTGTACTAATAAGTTGGTCTATAACTAAGATACAGAACCCTACAGCATCTGGTAGTCTTCTAGCCTATAGTTCTCTTCGGAATGGACTTTATCGGCCTAATTACCCTAGTTAGAGTAGGAGGGAAGAAGTATATACTAATTGGTATTAACTACTTTACCAGATTTATCTTTACAGCATCCCTAATAGAAGCAACAGCATATTCGGTAGCCTATACATTTATATACTAATAGTTACTAGTCATTAGATAGCTATAGTAAATATATACCGATAATAGCTCTTATTTTAAGAATGTGGTACTTAATATAATCTTCGCTTAGTATAGTGCTGAGATAACCTATATACTAACAATATACCTATAGAGTATCTGACTAGCTAAACGATATATATAGTTAGTAAAGGTTTAGTTTATAAAGTAGGCTAGTACTAAGGTTGGAAATAACCTACAGTAATAGCCGATAGTTTTACTACGTATTATAGTAGATATTAATATATAGTAGTCTCGATTATTAGGAACCTTACTAGCATCGGTATTTCTAGGATTTAACCTAGTATATATACCTACTCCGGATAATATTATAGGATTAGATATAAATCCCACTACTTTTAACGATAGCTTAGCAGTATATAACTATATTATAGTTTATATCGATATATACGATAATATATAGTATAATATAGGATCTAGACTAGCTGAGGGGGCGGACCGTTACCTAGATATTAAACCAATTCGGCGGTTTGAAGTTAGCTTATAGGTATAGGAAGTTAGAGATAAGGAAGGTACAGACAGGTCTAAGTTCTATCTACAGTGGGCTGGACTACATCGTATTGTATAATATGAATTACCCTATATATATATTGTTTAGTCTGTTAACCGACTAGGGAAGATAAGGAAAGTTTATATAGACCATCTCAAGAGATACTGCGGGTATAAAGATTGGATGGAGTACAGAGTATATTTAGGTGGAGAGGACAATAAGATTATTACGGGTAGGGGATTGGAGGAGCTAAGCGCTTGTGGTTGGGAGGAGGACTTGATGGGAAAAGACTTTGAGCTGGGTGGGTATTGAGAGAGGATAGTATTATTACGATTTTGTAGCGTGGTGTTTTGCGATGGGGGCATCGATTAAGTTGACTGGGGGATTGAAGAAGGGATGGATGATATGTGGACAGAAGGCCCACTTTTTGGTGGGGTGTATTACTAAGCAGTGTCCTATGGACAAAAGGATCACGCGTGGGTCTATTAGAACTTAGAAGAAAACAAGCAATCTTATCAGTGTGTTTTCACCCTCCACCCCCGCATCCAACCATCCATCCACCCACCCACCCATCCACCCACCAACCGAACCACCACAGCACACCCACCAGTGCCAACAACACCATGACATCCCCCCAAACCCCCCACCTCGACCCCGAGCTCTTCAACCTCTGCGTCGGCGCCCTCACACACATCCCCGCCACCGACGACAACCACACCGTCGCCGCCGCCGTGCGCAGCCACGCCGGCCAGACCTTCGTCGCCCTCAACGTCTACCACTTCACCGGCGGCCCCTGCGCCGAGCTAGCCGTGCTGGGTACCGCAGCCGCGGGCGGGGTACTCGCGCCGGACATCGCGACGATCGTGGCCGTGTGTCGCCGCCAGGGGGAAAAGGGGGAGGATGTGTATCGGGTGATTAACCCGTGTGGACGGTGCAGTCAAACCATGTTGGATTATAACCCCGAGATTGGGGTTGTGGTGTTGGATGAAAAGGGGAGGGAGGTGCGGGCGAGGGTGGGGGGGTTGATGGTGTTTCCGTCGGTGTGGGAGGATGGGAATACGGGGAGGGAGGAGAAGAGGAAGGCGGCGTTGGAGGAGGAGGGGAAGGGGGAGGGGGCATGATGGGTGCGGTGGTGGATGATGGGTGCATGCAAGGTTGTGGAGTTTTGGTGGGAGAGAGGTTGGCCCATGTGTGAGTCAATGACGACCAAGGTGTTCAGGCGCTCGAGTGGGGTGGTGTGGAGGATGGCTTGAGGTTGACAAGCACGTTGTGGTGTTGATGAAATACAACAAAGATGAGAACCAAACGGTTACTGCGTTATCTTACGAATAATAATAATCCTCGCGGGACTCGGTGATTTTGAGATGTTCATTTTGGGAGCAATGTTTTCCAGCTCGAAACACTCACGCCTCCCTTACAAGACCACATTCCGCAACGCCAATCACAAGTTGAAGCCTGCTTAGCATAGTGGCTAATGCGTTGCACTTGTATCCATCGACGATATGCAAAGATCACAGGTTCGATTCCTGTAGTAGGCATTTCTTTTTCCATCTCCGGCCCAATCACCCCTCTTTTTGCCCCCGAACTCCCCCCATTCGCCCCATATTGCCAACCAACCTAACCGAATAAATGATCCCCCACTTACCAAAGACCCCTCTCGCGGCACCTCCTCTCATAATCCCTCGCCATCACCCACTCACGCCAGCGATACTCCTCATCGACCGGGGGTGACGAGTCTCTCTGTACGGGGCGTGTCGGCTGACCTACCCTAGCACGGCGTCTACGCTGAACCCCCGTTCCATGGCGTCTAGGCTGACGTACCGTAGTAGCACGACGCGCCTGGGCCAGCCGGCTCGCGGAGTCCGGTTCCTCGTCTGAAGTCGATTCGTCGTCCGTCTGGCGTGCAAGCTCGGGGTTGACTTCGTCGAGCTCCTTCTCGACGCTGCCCTTGCCCATGATGTGTACCTGCCGGATCTTGACACAGCCCGGGCTGAAGTGGATGAGTGTCTCTTTTATCGTGTCGTTCAGGTGCTTGTCGACTGTCGCCCAGTCGCTCCGACGGTGCTTGGGGTTGCGCGGCACGCTGTGGTAGGGCATCAATGACTTGAAGGTCTGCGTCCAGCGGAGCGACTCCTTGTTGTCGCTGTTGATGTAGGCTTCGACGTGGCGGTCGGCCATGGCGATGGTGGTACCAAACACAGCTTCGTTTGTCGGCCATGTTTTCCAGTGGGATCCGTCTGACGATTCCACCCCCTGAAGCCACTCGTCTGGCTTCAGTATCAGCAAGACCAAGGGTTCGAATTGGCTCCAGCATTCTACCAGCTCTTTGCTGTAGTCGCCCATCTGCTCCTCCGGGTGTGTGCCGCAAAAACGCGGGTCCAAAAAGCCAGCGTGGTGGAAGATGGTGATGTCACTCTCGGTTGGACTGTAGTCCGGGACGAGCAGGCGCAAGATGGCCTCGCCAATGTCGGCCTTGTCCTTCCAAGTCGAGTGCTCCGGCAGATAGGGGTTGTTGGGATCGACGCCAAGCTCCTGCGAACGGTCGTTTTTGGCCTGGAACGAGAGGCCAAAGTCGGCGACGATGACCTGCGGCAGGTAATCTGTGAATTGCTCCAGTCGGGGGTCGGCCTCCTTTTCCTCGTCGGTTGGGAAGTGCAAGAAGATGTTGTCGGCGTGCATGTCCTGGTGACAGATGGGTTCCCACTTGTCGGGAGCCGTCTTCGGCGGGTTCGATGCATCTCCACGCCCGAGGTTGTCGTCCCGCGAAGGGATGTGCCCCGTGTGTAGCCACGAGACGGCACGGCAGAGCTGGGCAAGGACGTGCCAGATGAACCCCTCCGGCACTCGCCTGCCCGCGTCGGCGTATTTCTTGATGAGGTTCCTCAGCGTTCCTCCGTTGTAGTACTTGTAGAAGAGCGTCACATCTTCGTCCGGAGTTGTCAACTGCCTCCCAATGGTCCGCTTGTGGACCTGGAACGCATGCAGCTGGGGGAACGGAGTCAAGCCCATGTTCTCATGATACAGGGGCAGCTGCCGCGCCACGTCAGCATCCTTGTCGCTCAGCGAGCTCTGCTCAACCTCGGCCGGCATCGGAAAGTCCCTATTGGAAGCCTGGACTCGTCTGCTTATCTCGGGAAGCTTCTTGACAATAACCAGCTCGTGCGGGTAGTCAACACTTGCGAAGATGCCCACGCTGGCGAACCGGGGTTCGTTGACCCGCGGGGGCTGGATCCAGTGGAGAACGACGAAACCTTGAGCTCGTGCGTGCAGGTATCGAGACGACTCATTATCCTTGTTGTTGACCAGGTGGATACGTTCAGCGATTTCGGGGACTTCTAGCGGGTAGAAGACGAGCCCGTGATGGGAATAGCTGAACTCTGGGTGGGACGACATGGCATCTGCGAGGGGCTTTACGTGAAGATAGACGGAAGCTCAGTTCTGGCAGAGTCTGGTCGACATGTCCATGGATGCGACTTCAAAAGCATGGCTACTTCTTTGTCTCAAAGGCGTCAGCTCTCCATTCTCCATGCATTTTGCCTGGAGTTTTCACAAAGACGCGGTCCGGAAGCGTAAGCCAAAAGGGAGTGGGGTGAGAGAACCAATAAAGGGGCTAATTACTGGTTTGTCCGAAGGTCGCAGAGATCAGATCCGTGCCCTTCTCAGCTCAACTCTAAACTTTAAAATCAGGATGCCTGTCCCGGGGACGGGCTGAACCCGGTTCTCGCCACCGCCGCCCACGCGATGCTAAGCATATGACCGTTGGACTGTGTAAGGCATACATGCTACATCATTCGTGCTACATACCTAGGCGGCCTGGTCTTGCAGTGCAATGTGCCGTCCCTATCGAGACAAAACTTGCAGTAGGCTCAACGTCGAAATGAAAGGTGGGCTTGTTGCCCTGTCTTGCCTGTTTCTGGCTTCCACGTAACTCTGGGTCGTATCCGAGGAAGGAAATGATCACTCCATTTAAACCCTCCATCATGCTCCAATGGGCCCAGGCACCCGGTTACCGAGCCACTGGTAATCTGCCACTCGGAGCACCTGTCCATGCTCGAGCCATGCAATGTCGAAGTTGTTGATGATCTCCGTCGAGCCATTATCCTTCACCGTCATTACCCAGAACCCTGCTTCGTCCGGATTTGGCAAGCCCTTGTACCTGGTACATCAACATTCCCCTTTCGGTCAAATCGGGCGCTCCCGAATCCTCCCATGCCGACCCTGGCCACGCCTTGACTCGTGATTGGATGGTAGCCACAACACATTCTTGGGGCTGACGGCCAGCGAGACGTCATCGAGGCTGACCCCAGGCTGTGTTTTCACTTGGCCATACACTTTCCATCTCGAGCAATAAACAGCGCTGGCCTGCAAAACAATCAGCTTAAGCCTAAGTCGCCATGGTTTGTATAAAGTCGATGTGTCGTTCGAGATGTCGGACAACAAACCTCACCATCCTCACATCCCTCACCATTCATCCCATCCAGCCTCCACCGGCAACTACTAATCCGAAAACACCAACCATCGCCAATCATCCAACGCCATGACACTCTCCGGCCTCTTTACTGGGCTTGCATTGGCCTCGGGCGCCCTGGCCGTCCCTCTGTATGGCCGTGACAACAACACCTCCGGTATCAACTGGGGACCATGTGACTTTGAGAGTGCCGCGGCTGGTCCCATCGAATGCGCAACGCTCCATGTACCCCTCGACTACACCGACTCTGCATCGACCGAAACTCTCGCGCTCTCCCTGATCAAGAGCCCGTCGCGTAGCAACACCACCACAGTCAAGAAGAGCATCCTCTTCAACTTTGGAGGGCCGGGCTATGGCGCCGTTTCCTCCCTGAACTCGGGGGCCGACCTGTTCCACTTGTATGTATCGTCCTATCCTTTAATACCTGCAATCCATGGTGGTTGGTAAACTAACTGTCATCCAGGATGACCGGCGGCCAGCATGATCTGATTGCGTTCGATCCTCGGTACTTCTTCCCCCCTCCATCCTAACCAGCTTCACCTTTGCTAATATTCCGTTCAGGGGTACCGAGAAAACGCTCACCTTTTCCTGCTTTGACACCCCAGAGCAGAGACAGATTGCCACGCTCAAATATCCCTTCGTGCCCGTTGACGCTTACGATTCCGCGCTGGCCGAGACCTTTGCCGGTGCCAACGCCATGAGCAATGTCTGCCGCGAGCACTACGAGGGCAGCCACAACCCCGAGTTCATCGGCACAGCTTTCGTGGCTAGGGATCTGATGAGCGTCGTCGATGCGCTTGATGAAGATGGCTTGTTGAGATATTGGGGTGAGTTCAGCTTCTCTTTGACGCCCCCTCCTCTGACGCGTTTACTAAACCAAGCTCTTCAGGTTTGTCTTACGGCTCCCTCCTTGGCATGACCGTCGCCGCCCTGTTCCCCGACCGCATGGATCGCCTTGTTCTAGACGGTGTTGTTAACGCCGACAACTACTACAACCACTTCGGTATCGACATCGACCAGTTCCTCACAGCCGACTCCGGCTTCCGCGCCATTCTATCCGCCTGCGTCGAAGCCGGGCCCGAAAAGTGCCCCCTCGCGGCCATCGGCTCCACCGCCGCTGATATCGAAGCAACCCTCTTCGGTGTGGCCGACAAGTACGGTGAAAACCCCATCGCCGTGGGCAGCAGCATTCTCAACGAGCGCATCATCAAAGAGTTGATCTTCATTGTGACCAAATATACCAGCGATATTGTCACCGCGACCAACCACCTCGCCAACCTAGTGACGGGCACCAACCTGACCGAGGTCGTGGCCTTCTACGAGGGTCTGTCCGGGGGTATCGTCCCCGACACTGACGCGATCCTCGGCATCAAGTGCTCCGACACCGTCCCCCGCGTCGACTCGCTCGAGGGAATCCTCCCCGACGTGGAGCACATGCTGGCCACGAGCGAGCTGTTCGCGCCCGGGATCGCCGGTGTCGCCGCCCAGTGTGCCAGCTGGCCGTGGGCGGCCAAGGAGCTCTACAGCGGCCCCTGGGAAGGCATCAAGACCAAGAACCCCATCCTGTTCTTTGGCAACACCCACGACCCGGTCACGCCCGTCGCCAGCGCGAAGAAGATGAGCGCCGCCTTTGAGGGGAGCGTGGCTGTTGAGCAGAACGGCTTCGGGGTAAGTTCTATTTATCACTCGACATCGGAGACTCGTCAATGATCGCTAACTTCGCCGGTTATAGCACGCTACTCCTTCCCAGCTTTCGGACTGCACTACCAAGATCATGTCGGAGTACTTCAACCTCGGAACTCTGCCGGCTGATGGAACCGTTTGCGAGGTGAACAGCCCGCTGTTCTAAGATTTCAGACGGTAGATAGATAGCCTGCGCGGCGGGGGGGGTTGAGGAGTTTCCTTTCTAGAGGCTTCAGGTTTTCCAAGAGCGTCAATGTATAAATAGTAGACGCTTTAACGTCGCAAGGCGGGGAGAGACTGCAAACACTGTTCCAGTATATTAGACCAGACTAGAAATCCATAATTCCACTTTGTTAGCTCTATAAAATGCTCCCCTGGTGGTCTCTGATAGGTATCACTTGTATTTATGTATTTATGGACTACCAACCACACTCGAATCTCCACACGTAACTTGGCAACAAGTGTGAGAAAAGGGCAGGGTATCCCTACTTGCCAGAGTGGCTTAACGAATGATTCCAGTTTCATGCCTTCCTTCTTTTGCCATTGCCTGCGGGTTTTATTAGACATACCTCTCTCTACGTAGAAGTCGTGGCCGAAGGCTGTGGCGGGTTGCCCGGGAGCGTATCAAGCCCTATGCAAACCTCAGTCAGTGACCAGCGAAAACTCATGGACTTGGGATGAGAGACTTACAGCCTTCATAATTCTCGTCAACCACTTCCGGCACCCTGCACTTCGCCGCCTCTTCCACCGCTTGCGTTGCAATACCGGGGCAGTTTGCAGCAATGCACCCAGCATCCATCGCCCTTTGCAACGCATCTCCCTTCCACCCAAACACGTAGTCAGCATGCTGGCTGTATCCGCTCCGATCCCCCGTGCTCAGAACAAAGGGCTGTGATCCGTCCTCGGGCCACTCGTTAGGGTCGTTGAACGCCGTTGTGTCCCAGACGATCTCGAACATGACCTGCGGGATCTTGACGGGGTGCGAGTCTGGGCACGTATCAGCGGTGCCGATGCCGTCAAACACGTGCGGCCCTTCCACGGGATAGGCAATGTGAGACGTGTGGTCGGCACTGTCGAGGTTCTTGCCGTCCCAGCAGCTGCATATTATTAGCCAACCGTGAACATCATGGAGGGACCGTAGGGATAGCTTACGTCGGGAAGATAACGTTGGTTCGGATGCCGTGGCAAGGACCATTGGGGAGGTGCTGGGTATCAACAGCCGGATCTTGGCACGGCGCGAGGTCATCTCCTTGAAAGTCGGGCCCGCTGTAGCATCGGAAGCAGGTCTGTGTCGACAAGTTCCACTGCCCCTGGGGCTCGGAGCGTAGGGCGGCGTCGCCAAAGAACATGCGGAAGCCTGGCTCAAAGGCCTTCACCTCGCCCTTGCCCGGCGACACATAGTAGGCAACCATGCCGCCGTTGGTTTTGGTTGTGAACTCGTCGTCGAAGAACAGACGGTTCGGAATCTGAGGCACACGCTTGTAGCTCCCGTTGCGAGCCCTGAAATACAGATTGGACGTCCAGTAGTTGGAGAAGTCGTCACTGTAGCTGCAGGTCGTGCAAGTCGATAGTTCACTGATGTCGGACACGGGCATCGAGGCATTGAAGGCATCTCCGCCGACAATTTGGTGCTGGTGCGGCGACGGGATGGACCCGGGGTTGACAAGGGGGTCGATCCGGTCAACGACAACTTGGTGGCACCCAAATCGGAGCAGCGTGGGACCCGTCCCATTGTATGGAGGCATTGCAAAGTCCGGCCACGGCGCCTCCGGCGACGGCGTCGGCGTCGGCGTCGGCGTCGAGAGGTCACCCGCATGGGCGACTGCAGCAAGCCCAACAACAACCGCGGCAGTGATAGTTAAAGCCATGATGGTTTATGACAGCTGTGTGTCAACCAAATGACTTAAGACTAAGATTAATAGTGAGGAATAGGTAATGGATATTTCGAAATCCTCCACCTCTGAGGTTGAAGGCAAAAAAGGGACGGTTCACGGTGCTTATGAGTTGGGAGCTGTCTCATGCCAGTCTGCTTCTGCACCCTTCCAGAACTGTTGGCAGCCAAGGAATGGTATTAAACCCTCATGCAAGTCAATATCAATACATTGTCACGGCTGGTGCCAGCCTATAAGCGGCCACTACCAGACCTCTGCCCGCCGCGGGAACGCAACCTTCTCAGCGGGTATACACCTTTCTTATTGGCCTGTTGGGACTGGTTACTCATTTGTGTCACCGAAATCCGGGAAGAAATTGGGGACCAAGCTGGGAAACACGACTGCCTGTCACTGTTTACACGGCGAGGAAAGAGATAAGAAGTAAATAGGTGAATGGAGGGGGCAATTGCTTACCCCATGGCAATATATGGTAAGAATCATCTCGGCTTGGGAAAGGGCTGCCATGAAGTCCAGGGGATGGATGGATGACAAGGAGCTGGCCGCTCCAGAATAGCCGTTCAGGGGTTTCATTGGGAGATGATGCAGTCCCTTGCTCCTCACCCGTCCGCTGTCCGCCCCCCTGCCAAAACACGGGAGGGCAAATAAGGAATGGGACTCGGAGCTCCAAGTACGCGTAAAGCCTTGTGAGGGCAATCAACCTTGGAGACAACACTTGCCTGCGCCTCCCGGGTGCTCCCGTCCCGAGCCTTGGCTTTCGTCTGGAGATCCGGCGCCTGTTTGGCGGCGTAGCCGCCGCAGCCCCTGCGGCTGATCCCAAAATTAGGGGCACGGCGTTTAACCAGCGGCCGCCCGACGGGCCTGGCCTGCTGAGAGAGCGCTGACTGATATCCAAGATTAACTCATAGGGTCACGTAGCCGCGCTCGAAAATATGCCTCGGAATAAGAAGATTGGGGTATGAAGTAAAAAGGGACATATCTGTTTCAGATTAGGATTGCCGACAAAATAGCAACCCTTGCCTCAGTGACGTGCCGATGCTGTCCCTGTGTGTTGTCGGCTTACCCCTGACCTTGTAGAACGTGGGACCGCAAAAATGCATACATATATGATGGATACCGTGGGCCGGTTTGCAATGAATGGCTTGGTGACACCTGAAAGTAGGTAGAAAATGGGTCGTAATTCATTGTAGGTATTGAAACTAGACTATGGGCCAAACGTGAGGAAAGGCACAAAAGGAGAGGAAAAGAAAGCAGAAAGAATATGGAAAGAAAGCGAGGAAATACCATCTAGGTCTAAGTCCCTCTAGAAATATATGCCACAGAAAGAAGACAAGTCAGAAGTAACAAGCCAGCCCATCCCAAACTCAAAGAAACCGTCTGTCCAAAACCACAACACCGCAAACCCACAAACCAAACTCATCCCAAACCCACCAGACCACCACCCCAAAATCAAGAATCAAAAATCGCCCCATAAGCCGGCACCCCCCTCGCCTCCAACCCATACACGACCTTCCTCGTAACCTTCTGATTCGAAATCACCACCACCCCCTCCGCCCTCCTTCGCCCCTCCCCAGGCACCACCTCCCTCCCCTGCTCCCCGACCCTATACGCCAAGCGCACCAAATCCGGCCTCTTCGCCGCCGCCACCGACGTATCAATCACCACGGCCTCCGGATCCGCCCTATACACACACTCCAGCACCTCCCGCCCATAAGTCTTCAACGGATCCCGCGTCGCCCAAATCACCCGCACCGTCTTCTGCTGCCCCTGCTGCTGCTGATGCACAAACAGACTCAGACAGGGCGCGATGCCGGACCCTGTCGCGACCACCACGCAGGGCGAGAAGAGGCCGGCGCAGCGGAGCACGCCGAATTGCGGCGTGCCGCGCGTGTAGAGGCGCGTGGGCGGGTTGCGGATCAGGTTGGAGGTCCAGTCGCCTGCGTTGGAGACGAGCACGGAGAAGCCGCGTTGGGAGGTGTGCGGGGCGGGAGGGGCGGTGGGGGTGGTGAGGGTGTGGGCGCGGATGCTGGCGAGAGTGTCTTTTTCGTTGTTGGTGGTGGTGCTGGTGTTGTTGGGTGGGGGGTTGGTGTGACAGGTGCAGCCGGGGCAGTGGGACGCTGCTGGTGGTGGTCCTGCGGTGGGGAAGGGGATGACGCCGAAGCCGTGGGTTTCTTTGAGCGGCGCGTCGGTTAGGCGGATGGCTTGGCCGTAGTGCACGTTGCGGTATTTGAAGTTGAGCTTGACGCAGTGTTGAGAGAGGACCTCGGCCTCGACGTCGCGGAGGCGCAGGCGCGTCCAGGGGTAGATCAGCAGGAGAGTGATTACCACGAGCATCCAGAAACTGGGTGAGACGACCAGGGCTTTGCCGAACGGGATGCCGCCGGCTTGGGTGGACTCGGCGGCGAGCAGCATGACTTGTGCCCAGAAGAGCAGGATGGCCAGCCAGCCCATGAAGCGGTGGATGCCCTCGAACCAGTTGTGCATGATCCGCCGGAGGTGGGGGTGCGCCGAAGTCAACATCGACACGAGGAGGAACAGGATGAAGTAGCTGACAAAGTAGATGTAGCTGCGGATGACGCTGAGCGAACCGTCACTCTGGAAATCCATTGTGAGAAGCACGAGAAAGGCGATGTACCAGAAAGTAGCGGCAACGGCACCTCCACTGTGAATGCCGCCATAAGAGTACACCTTTGCTGCAAGCGTGCGGATGCCAAGGGGGAGGTTCTTTGTCCAGGTGCCAAACACCCAAAACATGGCATTCACAACATGCTCGTTGCGCACAAGCATGGCAGCGAGGATGTTTGCCGTCACGGCGATGCTGGCTTGCTGGTACGTGAACTTGGACTCTTCCCCTGAGATGGCGTGGCGAGCGATGAGAACCGCGAGGGCGATGATGTTGCCCAGATAAACGAGGCAGAAGATGCGACGGTAAACTGAGCCAAAGTTCCACCGCAGATAGCGGTAAAACCGAGGACCCTTCTTTGGAGGCAGTGGAGAGTTGTCGAGGCCATGGCTCTCGAACACGTTTGGTTCCGAAACAACGGCTTTGGCCTTGAACTCTTTGGCGCTCAGCGGCGGTGTCCCTGTGAGGGTATCCGAGGACGAGTTGACAAACTCGGAGGCTCCGGCTTCTTCCACGTCGCGAGGGCCGCGGACGATGCTGGTGCGGACGCCGAGAAAGCTGCTCCTGACTGGCCGTGTGCTCGAGTCATCATCGCTGCTGTCTGACTCGCAGTCTGAAACCTCATCCCCGAGGGGAGCGGGTGGTGAAGGCAGGGCGGCTTCAAGTCTGGCGTTGGACGGGCGTTGTTGGTTGTAGACTGGAACGGGGCGCAATGGCCGGAGACGACGAGGAGGAATGGTATGTGAAGGAGACACTGGACGGGGAGGGCGGACCGGTGGCCCTGGAAGTGAAAGGTGTTTTGACACGGGTGCCATTGTGATGAGGGTGTGTGTCTTGGGTCGTTAGGGCCCCCGTGATGACAGGAGACTTGGGGAGCGGATGGCAGGCCGGAGTAGTGGCGAAGACAAGATGGATATCAAGGCTTGAGGAGGCAGTAGTTATCCTGGGGGGCGGTGATGTGGTGGTGATGATGATCTGATGAACCGGAGGATGACCTTGTCTTATAGACAGGACAGTGGTTTCCCCCTTCAACAGACGATGGGTTCGGCGCAACCCTGCCTCTCCTGGATTCATCGACGAGGTGTTGGTCATCCATGTTTGCGGCCGCCAGGTCTCGATGTATCGACGGGCCCCTGGTTGTTCTCGGAATAGGAACGATCCATACTCCAAGGCCGGAGAGGAGGTGGCAGGGTGACGACACCATTGCATACCCCTGAAGGCGACATACAACCAGTCGTTGTTTACAGTCCCGTCAGAACGGTTCGGGGGGGGGTTGGGCAACCTTGCCCTGTCCCGTAAATAGCAGCTCACGATGAGAAAGGCAAGGGAGCTAGCCGCCGTTGGTATGTTTTGCGTATATCAACGAGCCCGATATCATCTCGGTTCTCGGGTCGAGCGCAGGGTGGGTGGCGCGGCTCTTGATGGGAGGGATCATGGATGCAGGGGTAATGTTGCCTTGCAGCAGATCAAGATACCTAGATAGACCAGCATCTGCAGCTTGGTAATCTGTATAAGGCCAGAAGGCTGAATCAAGGCTGGCCGAGCTACTTTAGGGGGGAAGGTCGAGTACGTACTTTGCATGTGCATGCACGATAACGTTATTTAGAGACACGGGCTGTAGCGAACTCCAACCAGTACCTCACACACACAAGACGACAGAAACGGTATGCAACCCAAAGGTTGCATGCGGAAACGGTTGGGGATCTGCGCCATGGTTACCGAGCTGCATCTCCGGCTCGTGGCAGATCCTCCCAAGGATCCATTGCATCAAAACGAAGGTCGATTTGGGTAGAGCGGCTTGCTAAGTTCGTGCCAACTCGATGAATTGTACAATTGTAGATGATGCCGCAGAGTCTGACCAGAAGCCGGCCACGGCAAATGCCAACGACCAACAGCATACAAATTATCTTGGCGGTAGCTCAATAGCGAGAGCGCTGAAGTTCGGCGCCCAAGTTATTCTGGGAAACTGGAAATGACTTGGCCATCGAATCAATCGCTAAAAAATGTGGGCGAGATGCTTTTGTGGGGCAACAGCCAAGCAGCGGGCCGTCCAAAAGTCCAAAGCCGAAACAATGCCCTATTGAGCGATTGGTCCAGGGACCGCCCACCCAAAAATAACAATAATCACCCCCCCCAAACCCCAAACCCCAAGCCTGCGCGTTGCTTCCAATGGATGCTTCCATGCTGCGCAACCCTCCCTCAGCATCCGTCTCCGAACTTTCGGCCCGCTGCCCTCCCGGGTGGCTTGTTCATCAAACGCCTCCCGGGACAAGAGTTACATCAATTCCGTATCTTGCCTTGCTTTGTTTACTCCCACGCGCAATTGCGGGAGCGAAGATGGCGGATCGACAGAAACGTTGCCCCGGCTTAGCTTGCATCCTTTTTTTCCAACCTTTTTTTCCAACCGCCAACTCATTCAAAGTGCCTTGTTTGGTGTCGTTTTGAAGAGCGAATCTCAACCCGCGAGCCGAGACTGGCTGCTTTTGCCCGACGAAAGCCACCGGCCCCCAACGAGCGCCCCCCAACCCATCTTTCATGGAACCCATCCACACTCCGTCCCAGTATTTGCTGCTAGAATTCGGCTTAGGAATCGATTATGATAGCAGTTCCGTGCCGCACTGCGTTCTCACAAGCCCGCACAGGTATGTCCCGCCGTGAACAGCGTCCATCGTCCTGGTCATTCATTGGTCCACCGGCTGTTCCCCTGACACCAACAAACCGTGCCTGCGATCGTCAGTGTCCCAAACCTGAACAATCCTTGGTTCATGATCTGCAGAAACGTGCCGATTAGTTAACTCCGTGGCCGCCAATCTTCGTTATTCTTGGAGCCTTACCTCCGGGTATCACTTGTCGATAGCTTAGAAAGCTTTTGGTCATCCCCGACATCCAATGCTCTTGTCGTTGAAGCCGCACATCCGGGGCACGAGAAGGTACATGCTGCGAGGCCTCAGGGGCGTGGCCCGGGTTGCCGAGAGGCTGATGTCCAGAAGGTCATATGATGCAGGTTCGTTGGTTGCTGCCATTCTAATCTATGACGGAGGCTGTCATGATCTATCTTTCAGTCCGCCCATAGGCTGGAGTTCATCACTGCTTCAGCCGGCGTACTCTCAACCCCCAACAGATGACTAAACCGGGAAAACACAGACGCGCTTTGCAATGCCTCGGAGTTTTCACGGGACTTGAAACCAGGCTCCATCGTCGCCCGCCCAAATTTCCCAGACCTAGCATCCGTCACCGCTCATCAGAAAGTAAACATGAAGTCTTCGTGCGTAGACTAGCGTCCAACTCATGATGCCATAAGATTGCGCGTGACCTTTGAACTCAACCCGATGTGCACTTCTATTCAAAAAGGATCCTAGCCAAGTTTGAGGCCCCGTCCAGACACACAGACAATAGTCCTATACACTACATGGGTCAAACAACAGTTGCCAGGGCCGAAGGGAACTGCCGTCGTGTCGCAAGGAAGTCATTTTATTGCCAGAAGTCTGTTCTCGCCGGCACATAGCTCCTGATAGGTGGATACGAACCCGCCATCCGTTTTCCGTCGCCCGTTGAACGGTTGTGACCAGTGAAAGGCGTCAAGTCCGCTCGACCACGGCGAATGAAAGGTTCAGGTTAGAGTAGCCAAGTAAGAATCCAGGTGAGAATCCAACGTATATTATGCAACGCTGTTTCCCCCAATCACGGAATGTTCCATCTCAATTTGCACACAGTTCAACTAAGGTCTCCAAATCCCATGATTCCTACCCCGGTCCAAGAAGGGCAAGCCAAGCCGGGCCAAGAGGATGAATGGCCCTCTCTCACGTCCATTTCGGGCAACACGAAGCCACTGCCGTGTGCGAAAGTGTGTATTCAAATCCGGGGTAATAAGCTTAATATCGAGTGCCGGAGACGTGGATGTCTGGCGCCTCACCACGCCTTACAGGCTCAGCCCAAGGCTAGTCGAGCCTAGGTAGTTACGGGTATTTAAAGGATGAGAGGCACAAGAGGAAAAGAAACGAAGAACCTCTTGTTTCTGACAGCCGTTCTCCTTCATCTCTCCTGCCACCCAACACTCGTCAACATGAAGTCTCTCTTTGTTGTAGCGGCTCTGGCCGTATCGGCCGAGGCGCACTACATCTTCAATATCCTGATGGTCAACGACCAGCGCGTCGGCGGCGAGTACACCTACGTGCGCCGCAACAGCAACTCGTATATGCCCACCTTCCCCGACATCGTCACGAGTAACGACCTGCGCTGCAACGTCGGCGCCAAGCCCGGCGGCGGCGTCCAGACGCACACGGTCAAGGCCGGCGACAAGATCGGCTTCAAGGTGTTCAACAACGAGGTCATCGAGCACCCCGGCCCCGGCTTCGTCTACATGTCCCTGGCCCCCAACGGCGTGGCCAACTACGACGGCTCGGGCGACTGGTTCAAGGTCTAGGAGACCGGCCTCTGCAGGGGCAATGCGGCGTCGGACGGGAACTGGTGCTCGTACAACAAGGACCGCCTCGAGTTCGTCATCCCGCCCAAGACCCCGCCCGGCGAGTACCTCGTCCGCGTCGAGCACATCGGTCTGCATGAGGGGCACCAGAACCGCGCCCAGTTCTACATGACCTGTGCCCAGCTCAAGGTAAGCTGGCCCTTTACCGTCCACAACAGGCGAGGACAGAAATAGCTGACATCTGCAAACAGATTACTGGCTCAGGGGGCGGCACACCGGCACCCTTGGTCAAGATCCCCGGCATCTACAAGGCCAACGACCCTGGTATCGCCTATAACAAGTGGACGGGCAACCCCGCGCCGTACCAGATGCCAGGCCCGGCGGTTTGGAACGGAAACTAAGGACTTGTGTGAGGCGCATGCCTCAACGGCGGTCAGGGGGCGCAAACCGGGGAACTGGTTCAGTGGTCTCGGCGTGTGGGGAGGCTTGTGTTACGAAGCACACAGCACTCCAGGGCGTACACTGCTGTTTCATTGTAGTACATAGGTACCTTAGGTATCGAACAGGCGCCTTGCAGCATTTACCGCTTATTCCAATATTGAGCGAGCCTTGCTCGTTGCTTGTCTCATGATGGACATTGGTCGCCAAATTTAAACACGTCTCGCATACGCCGCACGCGTCAGCTTGCAGTTGTCTTTTTTTGTGTTCCCACAGCCAACAAGCCGTTTTGCTGCACTTCAGCGGCCCTGATCGGCAACCCCTGCACCTCGCATGCCGCAACCAGACCACCGGATTCTTGTCTGGGTCTTTCCCATGTTCTGAACAGCAGCACCTTGCATTGTGCGACATTTGATTGAGCGAGAGATCGACCTCAGATGACTTCCTAGAATAACCTAGGGAACAACACCATATGCGGGGCAAACTTCCCCCGGGTTTCCCAAAGGGTCAATCTTGATGTCGCATCCGCTGGTCTGGGCAAGACACCAGGCCGACTACCCGCATAGCACAAGTTCACAACGTGAAAGGCTGAAATTGGTGTGGATTGTGTGCACAGTTCCGCGGGCGAACTGAGACCTCAAGGACATGAACGAAAGTCACCCACTAAAAAAAGACTAAAAATTAGGACAACTGAGGGCGTGATCGGCGGGGAATGGGCGACAACAGAGAAGTTGGTCGACTCGCTCACCAGGTTCAAACAATATCGATAATCGCCGTTTTTGTTTGATGAGCGAAAAGATTCCGAGAATGAGTGAATTCCGATAGAGCAAAATTGAAGTCACGTGGCAACACACGTGGGTAAAACATCCCCAACCCAGTGGCCGAGACGGTCCGAGCTCCAGTGCGGCTTCCAGGCTCTTGGTGTGTCGGAGCTTCCAGCGAACCTCTCCAACCCCACGACACCGACCCGCGCAATTGTCGCTCTCAGCCGCTCAATTGCAGCCCACCATGGCGTTAGAATCCGGCGAGACACCACGGCGTAGGAACCCGTCATATTACTACCCCATCCGGGCCCAGACCCCGCTAACCAAACCACCACAGGGGCGACCCGCGAGGAAATGCGCGATGCGAAGCTGCCCATGCAATACCGAGACAGCTGCGCCCACCTGCTGATCCCCCTCAATCGCTGCCGCTTCGAGACCTACTACATGCCGTGGAAGTGCGAGGTACGAGATCCGCCCCAGCCGGGCCCGAGAGGAGTCCCCGAGGAAGAAGCAGGAACAGGAGCGGGGGCAGGAGGAGGATCATGCAGGGAAACTGGGAGACCCCGTCGGCTGACTCGCCTTGCCGCAGGACGAGCGACACAGCTACGAAAAGTGCCAGTACGTCGAGTTCAAGAAGCGCGTCGCCAAGATGGACGAGCTCAGGGAGGCCAAGGGCGGTGCGCGGAGCAACTGAGCAGGCGGGGAGAGGAGGTCTCGCCGTGTACATATCGATGCGGGAGAACGGTGTTGGGGGCTGGCATTGATAGACGGCAATGCATTGCATCAGACACTCACTTGCTCTCGTCCTCGAATCCTTCTGTTGGATGTGCAACTAACCCATCCGCCGCGCCCCCGAGCAAGCAGCACCCGGCATGACCAGCGACGGTGCAATCGACTGCGGGCAGGACGAGGAAGGATGCTACTTGGCGAACTCGGGTCGAGTCCCACGAGTCCCACGCGTGCGTTCGGCCACGGAGATGTCTAGCCAGTTCGTCGGTACGCCATCGGGATTATGCACGTCACCCGCAGCCAGATTGGGGGAACGGATATGAAACCGGTTCGGGTTGGGGGTTCGCATGGTAAGCACTCCGGAGTTCTAACAAGCGAAGTATCGTGTTCAAGTCGAAACGGCGGTTGTGAGGGGAACAGGTAGGGACATAGGTACGTTGGGGGCTAAGGTGTGTGGGAGGAAGCCGACACCACAACCTGCACACACTCTGAGGTTCACTCTTCACCTCGCACAAATCACTCGTAGAACCACTCTTGCCTTCGGATAGTTATCGATAACAGATCCTTCAATGCAGTCGAACCCCAATCACCACCGCCGACTTCCCCACGCTGGGCTCATCATCATCAACAGAGTGGCGGGAATGAACCGGCCGAGACCTAGACCTGTGTTTCGGGCCTCACGCCATGATTCAGCCACTGAATACCTTGTGTTAATCAACGTCAACCATGGCACTCGTATGTATCGACGGTCCGACTCCGGTGCGAAATCAGAAAACTCTGTCCCTTGGCAGCATGTTGCCCCCAATATCATACGATAGGGGATGGGCGATGGTTGGGTCTCAGCCTCGGGCGGCACCAGCACGGCGGGTCGAAGATAAGGGCATCCTGGCTGATCACTGCGTCTGTCTGGCAACCAGGAGGAAGAATCAAGTTTTGGCTTGGATTCGGGTGCGACACCCGGAAGGGAAACCAGACGGCCATGGTCCGAAGGCCTCAACTGATCGGGGGGATGGGCAAGATTTTATTCCCCGCGGAGATGGCCATACCATGATAGACTTATCAAGCACCCTGCTTTCGCAGATAACGTTTGGTGTCCGGGAACATCCGGAGCGGTTAGGACGATGCCCCTTTATCTCTGCCAAGGCGGCCCCTTGCAAGAGCCTCAGACTTGGTGCAGATAAGGAGATAACGGCAGGGCTGACTGGGTCGGGTCGCCGCCTGTGGGGGTCTAGACTCATCCCGGACGCGGGATGGGGTTGGTCTCTCGCATATGCAGGTTGGAACCTCTCTGGGAACCCTCCTTTCATCGGCCCCAGGAGAAACCCGGCCCTCGGATCGTCGCCATATGGCCCATATCGACAAACGGAACGTCACGGCTTGGCCACCAACCGGTCCAACGGCGACAATGGACCAGTCTATATCTATCGGTGGCACTCATGACTTGATGGGCTCTCTTGGTTGTCCATCATATCATCAACCTTCCATTTCCCGAGTCCTTGATACTGCTGCACCACACAACAGTGTCAGCAACAATGGGCTTCCAGGTATCTGACCTCTGGCGAACGCCAACCGTCAACCCGGTCAACAAAAAGGCACGAAGCGTGCCCATCCTCAACCCCATCGACGCTCATGGCCGAGTTTTCTTCTTTTCATGGCTCGGCTTCATGCTGTCCTTCTGGGCCTGGTACACCTTTCCGCCCTTGGTATGCCGTGGACTCCAAATCAGCAGATGTGAGCCCTACTAACACCTCGCAGTTGTCCGTCACCATCAAGAAAGACCTCAACCTCTCCCCGGAGCAGGTAGCCAACTCCAACATCGTCTCTCTCGTAGCCACCCTTGCCGTGCGCTTCGTGGCTGGCCCGCTGTGTGACCAGTTCGGTCCGCGCAAGGTGTTCAGCACGCTGCTGCTGGTCGGCAGCATCCCTATCGGACTCGCCCCGCTGATCAAGGACGCAACGGGACTCTACATCATCCGCCTTTTTATCGGCATCCTGGGCGGCGCCTTCGTCCCTTGCCAGGTCTGGTGCACCGGCTGGTTCGACAAGAACGTGGTCGGCACCGCCAACGCCCTCGCGGGAGGCTGGGGCAACGCCGGCGGCGGCATCACCTACTTCATCATGCCGGCCGTGTATGATTCGCTCGTCCATCGGTGGGGGCACACCCCCGACGAAGCGTGGCGTATCACCTTTGTCGTTCCGCTAGTGTGCTTGATCATCTGCGGCGTTGCGCTGCTGGTGCTGTGTGATGACACGCCCATGGGGACATGGTATGTTGCCCCCCCCTGACCCCCAGCGCCCCTATTTTCCCACCACTAACCACCCCCACCAGGCACGACCGCCACAACATCCAACCCACCGCAGCAGAAGAGCCCCAAGAAGACACAATCGTCTCCATCCCCGGCACCATTACCGACCGCGAGACCTCCGGCAACACCACCCCCACCGGGAACGCCACCACCAAGATAATCGACCTCGAAAAAGCCACCTTCACCACCAAAACCACCCCCATCGCCATCCCCATCCCCACCCCCCAACAACACCAAACCGACCACGCAACAGCCCACACCGAAGAGATCATCCAACCCCCTTCCCTACGCACCGCCCTCCCCGTCCTGCTCAGCCCCAACGCCCTCTTCCACGTCGCCACCTACGCCTGCAGCTTCGGCGGCGAGCTGGCCATCAACTCGGTCCTCGCCGCCTACTACCTGCGCAACTTCCCCGAGCTGGGCCAGACGCGCGCGTCCAACTACGCGGCCGTGTTTGGGTTTCTGAATTTTGTTACCAGGCCGTTGGGGGGCGTGGTGGGGGATGTGCTGTATCGGGTGTCCGGGGGCGGGTTGTGGTGGAAGAAGGGGTGGGTGCATGTCTGTGGGGTGGTGACGGGGGTGTTGCTGATTGTGATTGGGGTGTTGGATCCGCATGATCTGGGGACTATGATTGGGTTGGTGGTGGTTATGGCGGTGTTTCATGAGGCTGGGAATGGGGCGAACTTTGCGTTGCTGCCGCATGTGTTTCCGCATGCGAATGGGTTGTTGTCGGGGCTGACGGGCGCGGGGGGGAATTTGGGGGGCGTGGTGTTTGCCGTGGTGTTTCGGTTTATGGATGGCGGGACGAATTATGCGAAGGGGTTTTGGGTTATGGGGATTGTGCATCTAGTGTTGAACGTGGCTGTTTGTTGGGTGCCCCCTATTCCGAAGGGGCAGGTTGGTGGGCGTTGAAAGGGTGGTCGAGCTAGAATTCACTATTAATTATCACCACGCTCATACGTATGAGTGGCCTTTTTCTGTTACCTGGCGGTTTGTTTTGCTTGGTTGAGTGTGAGTTTGGCCGAATTACCCTTTCCAACACTGATTGACATAATTACGATGCGCTTCCCATTGGGCTGCGCCCCCGGGCCGCAGGAGGTCTCCATTATGGCCTCCATCAGGCAACTCCTCCGCACTCAGCCTCACCCCAAGGTCCAAACCATAACCTGGACTCTTCTTTTTCCTCGCATTCGGTTAGTAGCGGTCGTCCGGTGTTCAAGTGCCGAAGATGGAGCATCCACGGCCGTCATGTCGCGAGCATTTCCACGTCGCCATCGTCTGCGCCCTGGCTCTCGAGTTCGATGCCGCTTGGTCACAACTCGACGAGGTCTGGGACAACGAGCCCGGAGGCTCGGCATTCGGCAAGTTACCCGGCGACACCAACATATACGTCAATGGACGGATCCGGCAACACAATGTTGTGCTAGTCCTGCTATCGAACGGGATGGGCAAGGTCAACGCCGCCCACGTCACCAACAACCTCCGTTTCAGCTACCCCAACGTTCGCATTACTTTGCTGGTCGGCATCTGTGGCGGCGTGCCCAAGTCTGAGGATGACGAAATCCTCCTCGGTGACGTTGTCATCAGCAGCTCCCTCGTCCAATATGATTTTGGGAGACAGTATCCGGATGGCTTCCGCCGCAAGGGCAGCTTGAACAAACTTAACCCTGAGATCCTGGGCATTCTGGGCATGCTCAAAACCAACCACAAGGATCTGACGCGCAAGAGGGCCGTGTCATCCTTGAGGGAGTTGCAACAACGGGAGCCAAAGTACGCGTTTCCCCGAGCAGCACAAGACAAATTGTTCCAGCCCAAATACCGCCACAAGCACCAGGGTTCGCCGGATTGCGAGTGCCGGGATCACGGCAACGAGCTTGACCCTGTCTGCGAAAAAGCCATAGAAAGTACCTGTGAGGAGGTGGGCTGTGAGGACGGTTTCCTGGTCCAGAGAAGTCGGCTCGAGCAGCGTGTGGAAAACGCCGATGGTACCGCCTTCGATCCCGCCATTCACGTCGGGGCCGTTGCCTCTGGGGACACAGTGATGAAGTCTGCAACCAGGCGCGACAAAATCGCCGAGAAGGAGGGCATCATAGCCTTTGAGATGGAGGCGGCCGGCATCTGGGAACACCAACCGTGCCTTGTTATCAAAGGGGTTTGTGACTACGCAGACAGCCACAAGAACAAGAAGTTCCAGGACTACACGGCTGCAACCGCAGCCTCGGTGGCCAAGGCACTCCTAATGCTGTACACGCCAGCAGAGAAGACGGGCCCCACGGCCATCAAACTCTTCGCGCCAAAATGGACCGTCCAGTTCCCCCAGGATCCTGACTTTGTCGACCAAGCCGAGATTTCCACCTGGCTAAAGGACATGTTCAATCTGCCAGGGGTCCGAGTCGCACTTCTAGGACTCGGGGGTATCGGGAAGTCCCAGCTCGCCATCCAGTTTGCCTACGCAGTCCGAGACAAATCACACGTCTTTTGGGTCAACGCGACCACTAGAAGTACGCTGGAAGAATCGTACCGCTCCATAGCTCAGAAGCTGGGTTTAGAGCCCCCCGATGACTCCTTGAAAAGTATCAATCGCTGCGTCAGCGACTGGCTTAGCGATGAACGAAACGGCCGGTGGACGGTGGTGCTTGACAACTTCGACGACTCCTCCGTTCTTACCGACGACGACCCGCGTCTGACCAAGATCCTGCCCGAGACGAGCAACGGGTTCACCCTGGTCACTTCCCGTACGCTAATGGCGGCCGAAAAGCTGGTCGGAAACTCCAAGCATATTTACCATGTCACGGCCATGAGGGAGGAGGTGGCCATGGAGCTGTTTCAGTCCAAGCTCAAGGAGCCCTGCGGAAAAGGGGAAGCCCAGGAAGTCGTCCGCCTCCTCGGCAACATACCGCTAGCTATTTCCCAGGCCGCCGCCTTCATCAACCGTCCCAACTCCCAGGCGTCGGTGGGTGGATATGCAGAGAAGCTTCGGAGCACCGATACGCAGAACAAGTTGCTCGAGTGGGAGCACGACGACGGCCGTCGCTACCAAGGCGCCTCGACTTCGGTCCTCGGCACCTGGACCGTCACATTCAACCAGATCCAGCGGGAGAGGTCGTCGGCGGCCCATCTCTTGTCTCTGATGAGCTTCTTCAGCCCCCAGTCTATTCCCGGGTGGGCTCTGAAGAACTGGTACGAGTCTGACCCCTCGGAGCTTCCCTGTTTCACTAACAGGGATGTTCTGCCCTCCTACGCATCCGATGTGCTCTCGTTTGTCAGTGCGGGCCGTAACTACCTCAACCGGCCACTCAAGGCGGACGAAAAGACTCACCAGCCCTGGGGTCGTTGGGCGGGAACCGACTTGGACAGGGGCGGAAACCTCCCTACCCAGTCCAAGAAGCCTCGGTTTTCGTCCATTAGCAGGGCTTTGAAGAGTGACTGGTGGTCATCCAAGTCCGGGAGCCGTAGTGTAGGCGATACTGCTTCCACTTCTGCTGTCGGCCCTGGCGAAGAGTTCGAAAGAGATCTCGAAACGCTGCTCGGATACTCCCTAGTAATGCCCACGGCAAGTGAGGGCGTGTTCAAGATGCACCCCCTCGTCCGGGACTGCACTCAGACTTGGATATCACGGTCAGGGAATATCGGGGAGTGGAAAAAGCGGTTCTTAGTGGCCGCGTACGTCAATATCGACGCCTTCAAGGACAGGAACCGGTTACAGCAAGGCCTCGGCATCCATTTCGATCCCCTCGCCGAAGAGCCAGAGGATGCGCCGACGGCAAGGCTCTGGTTTGGCCTTGCCTGGTCCATCCATTGGACCTGGCAGGAGACCGGGATCGACTCGACGCCGCTGGCGAACAAGATGATTGCTGTTGGGGAAAGGCTCCTGGGGCCGGCAGACAGGTTTACCCTCACCTCCATGGATCTCAAGGCGAGGTCGCTTGTGGCTGGGAGGGAATACGGCACAGCAGAAGCCGTGTACAAGGACCTTCTTCAACGGGCAGAGACTGCCAATCAGCAGAATTCCTACGTCATGCAGGAGTCGAGGCTGGCATACGCCAGGATGCTAACGTATATCGGTCGGCTCGATGACTCGGAGCGGCTCGCCCGGGGCATCGTCGAAGACCGGATGCGAGTCCTCGGCCCGAAGAACGATGACACCCTCTGGAGCCTGGGAAACCATGCCTCGGCCTTGACGAAGATGGGGAGGTTCGAGGAGGCCTGCGGCATCGTCAAGGGTCTGCTACAGGAAGACTGGACGGACAGAGAGGAATTCGTGCACGAAGTTACCATGAACTGCATCGCCGGGATCGCGCTGTCCATGTCATCGCACGACCCGGCAAAAGAAGTAGAGCCCTTGTTGCGGGAAATGGCCGACTTTGTCGAACGGGATCCCAAGACATGCACTTGGTTCCCGTACGTCATCCAGGGACCCTTTCACCTCGCCCTTTCTCAGTGTCTCGAAAAGCAAGGAAAGAAATACGAGGCTACGAAGGCGGGTAACATTGGCATAGAGCTCATGGCCAACGTCATTCCGATGCCGAGCCTCCAGCCCCCTACCCTCCTAGCAAGCCTACTAGACGAAATGGATGAGAACGGGGAACGGAGGGAGACCCTACTACAGAGCGTCATTGAGAACCTACGCAGCGAAAATGCGACGCTAGACTACGCTTTCTGCTGGGGTATGGTCAACATCGGCCGCCGATTGAGTATGCAAGACCGGGACGACGAAGCACTCCAGCTCCTCGACGCCATATGTAACCACCTGGACGGCCATAGCGCATACGGCAGCGCCCACAAGGTGACTACTTTGGCACGTTTGTTTTCTAGACACTTCAAAGACACTTGGTCCGAGAAACGACGGAATGCCAGGCGGGAGGAGAGCAGGAGTCAGAGCATGTCTACATGTATGGACTCGAATGCCGAGACCCTCAGAGACTTGACTCTGAACTGAGGGCCGTTTGTACTGTACATGGGCGACGAGGGAACACAAGGTGCGCCCTTTGTTACTGAACCAACAGCGTAGGCACCATGAAGAGCCAGCTAGCAAAGGTCAGATAATGGTGAGAACAAAGTCATTGTCAGTCGAGTGGTTCTATTCAGAAAGGGGAGGAAGGTCAAGTTACATCTTGTCATGATTCAACATATATACACCTTCAGTCCCTGTCAGTCTCCGCTGTTTCCACTCGCCATCGTAGACCTCTATGGCACTGTTGAAGGGGCATCCACGTAAGCTAACGCAAAGTACTAATTAATAGTCACACCCTAAGCTGCGCCTAAACTTAGTGCCCGGGCTCGTATCATCTCCCACACTCACTCGACATGGCCTCCGCCCTTTCCTCTCCTTCTCCAGTATCCAGCCGTCGCCGGGTGCACCAGAGACAAGGCGCGTATGAAAGGCCATGGGAACCCGTGCCATGCCTACCCGGGCCTTCTCCCAACCCAGCGCCCAGCCCAGCTCCAGTAGCATCCAACTGAAGGTATGACGCGCCTTGAGACCACGGGGGCGAATGTGCCGCGTTGCTAATATATGTTAGTCGAATAGATATAAAATTCATGACTAAACCTTCCATACCCCTCCTCAACCCCCATCCGTCCCCTCTGCATCGAGTCAGTTTCCCACATACTTTGCAACCGTGTCAACCCAAAAGAACCCATCCAATCTCCCCTCCCTTCACGTATTCCACTGCAGAGTCGCCTAATGTGGTGCGGCAGTTGGGAGAATTTGGCGTGCGGAGGCATCAAAGAAATCAACGTCCCAAGTTGGCGAAAGCACGAGGGAGGAGGGAATGCTGTTGAGCGCAAGCCCGTGGTAATTGTTTGTTTGTTTGTTTGTAATAAATAAATAAAAAGAAATGGCTGGTTGAATTTATTGCAGAGTCTTGTCATTCCCCTATTTCTCCCCACCAAACAAGGCCTTCTGCGTGTCATACGAATACTTGACCTCGCCGTGCCAGTACACGCTAGTATCGGCCTTGTTGATGGCCCACGCCTCATCCAGCGCCTTAACCACCTCCTCTGGCAGCGGCCCCTTTTCGACGGCCGTCAGGTTCGCATCCAGCTGGTCGAGCTTGGACACGCCGATGATGACGCCGTCGTTCCCGTCCTGGATCTTGAGCGCCGAGTGGTGCACCACCCACCGCAGCGCCGTCTCGATCATGGTCAGGCCGGTTTTTTCTACGGCCTTCTCCACAACCTGCAGGGCCCGGAAGGTGGTATCGCGGAAGTAGCGGTCGCGGTACATCTTGCCGGACACGGCGTTGTCGCTGTACCGGCCGTCGGACGGGATCATGTCGCCGGACTTGATCTTGCCCGAGAAGAGGCCGCCGGCGAGCGGGTTGTAGACGACCAGGTCCAGGCCGTAGCGGCGGCAGGCGGGCACCAGCTCGGGCTCGATGCTGCGGGTGATGGCGTTGTACATGGCCTGGTAGACGGTCGGGCGCACCCAGCCGTTGTGCGCGCACGTCATGACCAGCTCGGCCAGCTCGAAGGCGGTGAAGTTGGAGACGCCAAAGGTGACGAACTTGCCAGCCTTGTGCAGGTCGTTGACGGCACGGAGGGTCTCGGCGAAGGGAGTTGCGCGGTCCTGCCGTGCTTGTCAGTTACCTGGTGAGTGTGTGTGTGACCGACGGTTCTGTGACAGCCGGGGTGGTCAAGAGTGGCGTACGGCTGCGTGGAGGTAGAGGATGTCTACACACTCAGCCCCTAGATCCTTCAGGCTGCCGTCGACCGACTCCAGCACCTTATCGTAGGTGTTCGCGCCCGGCTTGTTCGGATACATGACCTTGGTGGCCAGGGTCAGGCCGCGGTCCTTCCATCCGGCCTCGCGCGTGAAGGCCTCCTGCTTGCCGCCGATATACAATTTGGCCGTGTCGACCTCATTGTAGCCTCGCGACTGGAACGAGTCGAGCACCTTGGCGAACTCGCCGACGTCGGTGATGCGGCCTCCGGTGGACTCATCCGGGCCAAAGGTCATCAAACCGAGAATGACGCGCCGCGTGAGTGGTTGGACAATAAGGGGAGACATGACGAGTGGTAGTAGGTACTCTGCAGGTTGTGAGCGAGACTGTATTAGAGGGTATGACACTTGCGGCGATACGGCGATACGGCGATGTGATAGTGCGGGGTTGACGTACTGATCCGATGGCAGCAGTGTCCAATGCGGGTGTTGTTCTTTTCGGGGTTGAAACTTGAAAGTGTTGAGTGAACTGGAACCGAAGTTTGAGCCCGAGTATTGAGTAAAAGAGTGCCGTGGTTGGTGCTCTCTTTATTTAGTCTGTGCTTCCACTTCGCATTGGATCGAAGCAGGAAGGAACCCCCTCTCACCAAATGGCACTCTCGGGCAAAGGAAATGATGAGAGAAAAGTGCCGCTAACAATAAATGGTCCGAGTTGGCCGAGACAGATTACGAGAAAGAGAAGGCGAGACCCACCGCCGGAGTTAAGAACCGGCACTGGTCACCCGCTCCAACTCCCAATTGTAAGGCCCTATCACACTCCACACGATCAATCACTCTCCACACTCTTCAATTATCGAAGCGAAGCTTCAATTGATGAGTCTCTAAGATATACAATATACATTGAGGAAGCGAAGAAGGAACGCTTCGTTTCATTTACAAGGTCAATCCTCCAGAGTTCTCAGAGGAGCGATTGGATACCACAGTTCGACGTACATTATCGTACATTATCTCGCATTAGTATAACTTGGCGTTGTAGCTCTATAGCTTAACAGAACTATTGCTAGATCAGATAGTTGTAACCGATAGATATATAGGGGCTGGCTAAACGTTAGAGCACTATAGGCTAAAAAGCAGGGGGTCTAGGGGGCTATAGGCCTCTAGCAATGTTTATAGAAACTTATAAAATTTATATTAAATAATTAGTCTACCTTTAATATCGTTAAATATAAGTAAAGGAAGATAATATAGTTAATAGAATATAATATAGTTAAAGGAAGATAATATAGTTGAGATAGAAGATAATATAGTTAATATAGTTAATACAATTAATAGGAGATAATATAGTTAATATAGTTAATATAATTAATAGGGGATAATATAGTTAATATAGTTTATATAATTAAAAGAAGATAATATAGTTAATATAGCTAATATAGTTAATGGGAAAACAATATAGTTAATATATGTGACGAACCTGTCTCTGGACCCGTCCTGTTAGGGTTCAGTATCGGTCGAAGGTATTCTCTCAAGGGTGCTTAGGTTCGGTGCAGCCAAAGGGTGCACAACAAAGACTTGTCTCAACAGTAGGCTCTCGAGCTTGTAGCGAACTGTAGTTGTGATTGCTAACTGGAGAACTCCCAGAGCTCTCCAGAACGAGTGACTATATACTATCTAAGTCCCAGGTATCTTCGTACCTGGATCGCAGTGGTCGCCCATCGATCGCAGCGATCGCTTACAGGTGCTCGTGGTGATCGCAACTCGTTCACAGCGATCACCTCCTCATTGGTCGACTAAGCGATTGGCTTCCGGCGCGTCCCGCGTGCCGGCTGGCACCCCTCGCGGGTCGCCTATATGGTCAGTTCGTGACACGATGCCCCTCCTTCACGTCTTTCGTCCCGAAAAGACTTGGGCTTGTTTCAAATACCACCACGCCCCGTGCTAGTGAGTGCTTCCGTTCCTTTCCTTTCCTCAACCCCAACTGCTGACAAAATGTCCGGCCGTGTTAAAAAGAAATCTACCCCAAAACCTGCTGCTTCGACCCTGCGCGCCACCCACCTCCTTACCGCTATTCTTTCGTCCGACGACCTGTCGATGATGCGTCCTTGTTCCAACTGCGAACCCAAAGGCTTCGAATCTTGTGAGGTCTCCAAGACCGATTCTTCCCGGTGCGTCGAGTGCGTCCGTTACAAACGTTCCGGTTGCGACGTTCTAGGCGTTACCCCGTCTCAACTTCGGTCTATCGCTTCGCAGCACCAGAAACTGGAGGACGAGCTCATGGCCGCCGAGGAGCGCGTCCTTCGTCTGCGCAAGCAGAAGAAGATGTGGTTCGAGAAAATGATGCGTGCCGTTTCCCGGGGTATCGACACTGTGGAGGAGTTGGAGAGGGTGGAACGGGAAGAGGCGGAGGCATCGGCGGCGGAGGCGGCAGCCGCACCACCCCCCGACTCGACTACCCCGCCTCTGTTGGGTGCCGAGTTCGCGCCACTTTGGGATGCCGTCTACCCCGACGTTTCGTTGGAGCCGTCTTTGCTGGCCGAGTTTGGTTTGCTTGAGGGGGCCCCGTCGCTTGGGGGCGGTCAGGGTTCCTCTGGTGGAACTCCTGAAGTTTCTCGGGGCAGTTGAGATTTGTAGCTGGTTGCCATGAATTGTCTTCTGGGCCAAAGTCCAGCCACTTGACCAAATACTCCAACTGTCCTTCCGTGATGCGTGAGTCCAGGACTTCCTCAACGTCCCATTCCTCCTCTTCGTCTTCTGCCTCGGCGTCCTTGTCGAGTCGTGCGCCCTTGGGTGCTGGTTCCAGAAGTGAGATGTGGAAAACGTTGGTCCGTAGTCGCATTGTCGAGGGTAACGCGAGAGCGTAATTGTTCTCCGAAATCTTTTTGTCGATCTTGAACGGTCCGACTTTGCGAAAGTCGAGCTTCCTGCTTGGTCGCTTCGTGCGAAGATTTCGAGAAATGAGGTAGACTTTGCCCCCCTCTTCCAGGCGAGGTCCCTCGAGCCTGTTTCTGTCGTAGAACTTCTTCATCCGTGTTCGTACGAATTCGAGTTCTTCCTTGAGCATCGCGTGCAGCGAGCTCATTTTGTCGGCTTTGACCGCCGCTCTGGGCACCGAAACCTCGGGCCCTTGTCGCAAATCTGCTTCGTAGCCGAAATTCGCGAAGAATGGTGTGACCCTGGTGGTCTCTGTGACGGTGGTGTTGTAGGCGAGTTGCGCTGTCGGCAGCAGCTCGACCCAGTCATCCTGCTGGAAATTGACGTACAACCGTAGGTATTGTTCGACGACCTGGTTGAGTCGTTCCGTCTGTCCGTCCGTCTGTGGGTGGTAAGCGGTTGAGAGCTTACTTTTCGTACCCAGTCTCGTCATCAGAGCCTGCCAAAACTTTGATGCGAACTTGGTGTCCCTGTCTGTGATCCATTCCTCCGGCCAGCCGTGGACCGAGGTGATGTTGCGGTAGATCACATCTGCGAGTTGTTCTGCTGACCATGTCTCCTTGTAAGGGAGGAAGTAACTCCACTTGGTGAGTCTGTCCACCATCGTGAGGATGCTGTCGTATTCTACTCCCGTTACTGAGTCCTTGGAGGCTGGTAGTTTGGTGATGAAGTCCATCGTCACCGAACTCCATGGTCGTTCTGCGACTGGCAATGGTTGCAACAGCCCATATGGTTTGTGTCGTCCTGGTTTGCTTCGTCCGCAGCGGTCGCACTCTGCTAGGACTGCTTCTGTCGCCTGTTTGATTCCTGGGAAGTCGTAGTTCTGCTTGACTTTCGCGATTGTCTTGCCGATTCCCATGTGTCCCCCGAGTCTTGACTCGTGGATCTTCTGAATGAGCTCCTTTTGGTCACCAAGCCTGACGTAGGCCTTGTCGTGGTACCAGAGCCTCGTCCCTTCAAGTCGCAACCCTGCGATCTTGGATTCTGGCTCTTCCTGCCATGCATCGCGCTTGTCGTCCGCGATGATTCCCTGGAAGTCTCGTTCCAGTCTTTGTTCTCTGAAGGTCGCACAGCATTCTACAAACGGTTGCAGAGGCCTGGCTTCGGGATCTTCCGACTGTTGCTGAAGTGCTGCGATCTCGTAGTCTTCAGTCGGTTGGGAAGCGTGCCGTAGCGATCCGTCTGTCTGTTGATGTAGCAATGGTGGTGAGACTTCGGATGTGTTGTCGTGGTGATCCGCTCTCCTACTCAAGGCGTCCGCTCGTGCGTTCTCTGAGCCTTTCTTGTAGTGGATCGTGAAGTTGAATTCGGACAGAAATTCTGCCCATCGAGTCTGTCGTCCGTTCAGCACCTTGGTGGTGGTGAAGTATCGTAAATTCTTGTGATCCGTGTACACCTGAACTTCGTGCGTCGTGCCGCTGAGATATGGTCTCCATTCCTGAAATGCTTCAATGATTGCGAGAAGCTCCTTGTCGTGGATCGGGTAGTTAAGCCTTGGTCCTTCGAGTTTCTTGGAGAAGAACGCAACTGGATGAAGCTTGCCGTCCTTGTCCCTCTGACCAAGTTGTCCTCCGATCGCGAAGTCCGAAGCATCAGCCTCGACTTCGAAAGGCGTGCTTGGATCGGGCAGCATGAGCACCGGGTCGGCGATGATGGCATCGCGGATCCGCTGGAAAGCCTGCTCGTGCTCCCGCTTCCACTGGAATGTGGCATCCTTCTTGGTAAGTTCGTGTAGAGGTCTCGCGATATCGCCAAAGTTCTTGATGAACATCCTGACAAAGTTGGCGAATCCGATAAACCCCCTAACCTCTGTGGCGTTTGTTGGTGTCGGCCACGTCCTGACAGCTTCCAGTTTCTCGGGTTCGATCTTGACCCATCCTGGAGAGATCTCGTAACCCAGAAACACTGTCTTCTTGACATGAAACTCGCTCTTGTCCTTGTTGACTGACAACTTGTGCTCGTGCAGTGCATTCAGCACCTGCTGCACATGTTTCTTGTGTTCTTCGAGTGTCTTGGAGTAGATGAGAATGTCATCCAAATAACAGACTGCAAATTTATCGAGGCAATGTCGAATTGCGTGGTCGATAGCGGCTTGAAACGTCGCTGGTGCGTTGGTCAACCCGAACGGCATGACGAGGTACTCGTAGTGCCCATAGGGTGTCCGAAAGGCCGTTTTCCATTCATCTCCTTCCTTGATGCGGATGTGGGCGTACGCTGTCGGAAGGTCGAGACGCGTGAAGTATTGTGCCCCTGACAGTTGATCTCGAAGCCTCGAGATCAGTGGCAGTGGGTAGCGGTTCTTCACCGTTTCGCCGTTCAACTGTCGGTAGTCCACACACATCCTGAGTTTCCCATCCTTCTTTGGAACGAAGAGGACTGGGTAGCCCGCTGGAGATGTCGATGGTCTGATGTGTCCTATCTCGAGGTTCTTTTCGAGATAGCTCCTCAACTCTGCATCTTGCTTCTCGTTGGTGTGGTACACCTTGAAAAATTTCAACTGGGCGCCTTCCTTGAGTTTGATCTCGTGATCCCAAGGTCCGTGGTCTGGTAGCCCTGCAAGATGTTTTGCCGTGAACGCCGGGTGTCCCTTGTAATCGTCTGGAATCTGTCCCGTTTTCGCGTTCTTCGCCGTACCTTCGTAGTACGCGAACTTGCTGTTTCCAGGCTCGATGCTTGCTGCTTCGAGTTCCCTGACTTCTTCTGCTGCCAGCTCGATGTTTGCCGCTTCGAGCTGATTGACCCATTGTTCGTGTTTGAGCATTCCGTGCTCGTCGACTGAGACGACGGC